AAGATGGTCTATCGTGAACTAGAGATCTTTAATATAGATTTTATTTCATTAGGTAAGGCTTCTAATATAATTGAAAATAGCGGAGGACATATTAAGGAAATTCCATTAAGTTATGAATATTATGAATATGGTTGTGATGATATTGAAGAAGAATCTCTCATTTTTATTCGCAAAATTTATGAAAATTGTCCTTTGATTGAAAATTTGTCACTATTATGTTTATCATCAGATGAACATTTAACTGAACTTGAAAAGTTATTAAAAGATTGTAAATATTTGAAGTCATTATCATTAATTATAATAGATCTTGATAGACTTACTACAGACGAAGAAATTGGGAAAGAATTGTTAAAAATATTAATTAGATCAACGCCAAATAATCTAAGAAAAATCAAATTTTATGGAAATTCTCAATTCCCTTTGAAAAGTTTGGAAGAATTCTTAGAAAAATGGAGAGGTCTAAATGCACTTTCTTTATATACAACTGGTGATATTTATAAAAGTAATGATTATATGAAACTAATAAAAAAGTATAAAAATAAAGGAGTAATTAAAGATTTTATATCTTAGTCACATTTTCTTCATTTTAGTTAATTTTATCACCTGTATTTAAATTGATACCTGATTCAAATCTCTAATTTTTTATTCTATAAATAAATTTGTATATCACAATAAGTTATACATATTACGATTATATGAAATCATACATTGTAAAATTTACTTTGAAAAAGCTCGAAATCTCTATTTAATAATAAAAAATTTTTTAAGACTAGGAAACAGGAACTGTTGGAGCGTTATAATCACATAATCATCAATTACATATTACAAAAAATTACATTGCTAAAGTTAAAAAAAAAATGTACAGTTAAAAAATGTATCATCGCTAAAGTTAAAAATGTATAATAGTTCAAGCTACGATTTAGGGGATCACATTTTATTTTATCTAATTTTTGGAAGCAACGATTAATTTACACTTTAGAAAGCGAATGATATTTATTATTTAAAAATTTTATTATAATTTATAAAAAAATAATTAACATGAATTTTTAATAATTTAGTTTTTTTGTTATTTTGTTTCTACACTTGATCCTAAAATTTCATTGGGCATACACGCGGCGTGACGGACAGACATTGCATGCTTTTGAGTACGAAAGTCCTTTGTTAACGTTTCGGACAATAAGAAAATTTAATGTTTAATTATACAAATTATACATTAACGTTACGACGTTACGTGGGTTACGTGCCAAGTGGCGCACGTCAGTTATCACCTGACGTAAATCAATGCCCTATTCTCGAGGAAAAATTAAATGCTACTATGCTTGAGATTTAAATGCAAAGATTCCAAACAAGAAGAATATATATAGTAAAGTATTTAATCCAAGAAAAACTTTCCTCATTCGGCTTTAATAGTTATTCTTCAGAATTATTTGCTTCGTCGTCAGGATACTTAAAAACCTAATTTGATTTAAAAATATAAATTTCCAATATTTTACTGATATGCCATTTATATTTATTTGGAAAAAAATTTATTTGCGAATCAAGAGTCAATAATTTGATCACATGTTTGGATTGCTTACTTGAATGATCTGATCAAAATGTTCTGATTAACAGATATTTCAGATTATACAGTAAGTAGTATAAAAATGAGGTTTTATCCCAGGAGGTCGTCCTGAGTATTGCAAAAATTACACATAGCGAAATCATAATGAAATATTACTTGTAAGCCTAAGAAATCCAATTTACCTTCCTGCTTTTCATTCTCTTTGAAATCGTTTGTTTCCTAGAAGTAAAAAAAATTTTTCTACTTTGGCACATTCCTATTCGAAACCCATTTGAGTTACCTTCCAATAGCATTCTCAACTTTAAGCAAAGTGGTATAAAGAAACAAGGCACACTGGGGTGGATCCAATTGGTATACCACTTGATTACTACTAAAACTAGAACAAGCCATTGCAGAGGTACTAAGCAAAGATAATTAGTATTTTATTCATATCATGTAAAGCGAACTATTCGCAATTTTTTATGTATTATTGTCCGCTTCCGGCGACGTTTTTATTTCATAATATATACAATAAAAATATTACAAATCATTTCTCTGGCTATTCAAGAAAGCGTTCTGAATTAATTTCACTCTGTTAATACATTCCTAGAATTGATTCACTTCTAAATAATGGGTTAGATCATTAAAAAATCAAACGTTCCCTACGAGCCATTGCTAAAGTTATTCAATACTAATACCAATTCAATTTTTCAAGTCCGGAGTGATGATCACTTGATCCGTTGATCGGGAGAATTTATTCACTGCATTCGTGTTACAAAATAATGGATCACACGGCAGGTCTGTGAAACGATCATATTCTCACATATACCCTACCTCAGTATTAATGTTTTTTTTTATCATTTTGTCCTTTACGTACGCTATTTTACACCAATAATATTTCGCAAAAAATACTATAAAAGTCGCTGTCTATCACTTTACTCTGCCTCGTCAAAGGAAATACGAACGCGAACGCTTTTCTTGTCGATATTGATAGGGGCCAGCTTGTTAGCCACCTCAAGAAAGTAATTAAGGCGAAAAAACGTAACTTTTCATGGTGTAAAGGCTGAAGAACTCAAGCTATGGAAAGTAGAAATTCCTGGCGATCATGTCGATCCCACAAGCAATCTCTCACTTCAGGACAACGATGAGCTGTTAGCAATAAAAAAGAGTTCGAAATACTTTCCTGACTCGCCGGTCGAGGAGCATATTCATGTCTTAGTCGAACCGCCCGTGTCAACCGCTACTTCGAGCCATGAACAGGAATTACTTGAGCAAGTCGCCTCGTTGCAAGCATTACTCAACAAGTCCACACATGGTATGTATTAAATAATGGGAAAGGTCGAGAGGTTTATACTTTTTTTCTAACCGTCTTCACATTACAGACGTCGACGTCGTCGTTCACCCGAAACGAAAGCAAAATAAGTGGACTACAAATATCGAACATGCGACTCTCGAAGGCCTCAAAGATTATATACGTAAGATGTATCAACCACCCGCACTTGAAAGTGATGGGCGGATCTCAACTTCATGAATGATGGAGAAAATATTCGCCTCGGAACGATCAAGATCTCCGTGAAATCCTCCGCATATTTGTGTCAAATAAAAATCTCAAGTTTACTGTATTTATCGAGACGCTATCAAAACCTTTCTCAGATTGGTCGTTCCCAAAAGTGTGCGCTTTATAGTATTAGCAATGACCCAAATTCAGACATAGACATGTTCCCTCCTTTTTCATGTGGTTCTGCGGACCCAAATAATGATAAGTCCAAGGCTGTGATTGAGCTCGTAATGGCAGAAATAAAACTTCGTCAAGATGTTACTCCTCTCAACAAGGCGAATGAGGTAACGAAAACTATTTATTCTTACAGCTATCTGGCTTCCGGTCTCGTTTTACAAAGATAATTTTCAAGCTCATACCGGAAAAACTTATAGAGGGTCGAAATGGGCAAGGAAACCTTGATTATGCGATAGAGTGTCATTCAACCGGCAGGATCCTTGGTATAATCGAAGTTAAGAAGTTAAGAAGGAAGATTTTATGAAGGGATTTACTCAGGCATCTGTGCAGATGGAGTCAAACTTTGTCACGTAAACGTAAAGCCGAAGACATCGATAATGGGTGGGACGTAGATAGGGTGTTTAGAATTGTTACCGATGCTTCCGAATGGAATGTTCGCTAGATAATGAGGGAAAGCCTTCGTTTAAGCTATCGGAACTGGTGACTGTCCTGTATAAAGATGAGAATTTGCAAGCTAAAGTGGAAAAGGTCATCGGGCATATTGTATGGTTACTGGAAGAGGCACAGAAGCCGATGGAAGCTTCTCAAAGTGGAGTAAAAAGGGTAAAGTCATTAAGCAACATCGCAGGAAAGTCGAATTAGAATTTAGCCTTCAAAGTCATAGGAAGCTTCCAGTGCATATCACTGGTCATTGGTTTTTTTGAAGGAATATACAATATAATTGTACTATTTTAAGATTTCACTCTAGTAATAATTAAAATAAACAAATCTTAGTTTCGATTTCGGAGTTGAGGTGTTGGACAGATAGGGCTTAGGATAGAAATGTAGAAACGGGCAAAGTCCCGAGCCTTGTATGTGTTTTTCCGCATGTATTAATAAAAAATTTTTCTTGGACAAAAATCGTTAACATTGATCACGATCAGTCGGTATAACCTAATTATTTGTTACTTTCGGTAACGTGTCGTGTCTTATATTATATACAGTATACTAACGAACTTTTGAATAATTCCCGTCATGTATAAAAAACATTCTCAAAGAATGTCATCCAAGCTTGATTTATTAAAAACAAGAAAAAGTTAGGCTTCGGTTATGAAAGCCGCTGAAAATGCCAAGCTTAAATCCGAGAAAGCTGAGTTTATAAATTCTTGAGGCCCATATAGCAAAATTAAAGCATCTTAGTTTGAAACAGCCAGACCGCCTTGAGAGTATTGAGGCTATAATTATTGATATCAAGGCTCAGAATGCAAAAATAAATAAATTATAGAAGAATATGAAAAGGCATTGGAATCTAAGAAAAATCGCAAATTACAGACTAGATGCATCCAGATAGCTAAGGAAATTCTTCATGAGGAGCCGATATTGAGTATCGCCCTCCTTTCTTGAATGGATTAGAGCTTGATGCTTTCTTCCAAAAACATCGAATTGCATTGGAGGTGTAAGGGGTTCAGCATCGGTTTCATAGCACCAGCTGGTATAAAAGACTCGAGGACATCGCTAATCGTGATAAGCAAAAAAGATGCATTTGTCTAGATAATGGAATCTGTTATTTCAGAAAGGATACGAAAAAATTAAGAAATTTGTTGATCAAACATCCAAAAGTTTCGATCTCTTATAATCAATAATCTTATATTGTTTTCATCACCACAACAACGTGACTTATCACATGTCTACCATATCTTGCGCGTCATATATAAATGATTATTCTCCTTACATCTCATTCTTATCAAAAAAAAAAAATGAATATCATTTATATTTGCTGTTTCCTCCTTTCACTTCCTTTTATCAATTTTTCATCCTTTCTGTGGCTTCTGATCATTTTTATATTAGTTATTTTTCATTTACTTATACAACTTCTCAGGTATTATTAGATAAATAAAGCCAAAGCATATTATTATACCATCTGATATACCAACTTTTTATTCACAGCTTCTTTTGTAGTACCTCAGCCTCAAACAATACTTCTGAAGACACTCCCTTGAACAATATTTTGAAAGACGTAATACCCGAAATTCCTTCTTGTTTTGAAGGTTTAGAAGAACAGTGGGCAGATCTCAATAAAAACGGAAGAGGTTTGTTGTTTATTATTTTTGAATATAACTAGTTATTGTATTAAAGGTTACTATATTACATAATAGATTTTCGAAAAGAAATCTGGTTCAAGACACATATTAATCAAGCAAAAAGTAAGTATTTAATTTATTATTGTTTTACTACGATAATACTTTTTAACAATTTATTTTTTTGCAGAGGAAAATATCACTCCTTTAGAACATCTTGCTGACTTTTTAAGAAGAGCATACCAAAAAAAAGAGGAAGATTTACAGGAAGAGGATCTATCCGGAGAGGACAACGAAGATTCTAACTACCAAGAGTTCGAATTATGTCTCACCGATCGGACGAGGACCCCGTCGACAAATAAATTTAAGCAGAAGAGCTCTTTCTAGAGTGAATAATCTGAGCAAATGTAGAAAGGCACTTTGTATGCATTGATTGATATTTTTTGTGCAACAGCAACTCATTTAGCTTCACGTATGTTGCCCCAAGTTCAAGGTCAGATCAGATCAGATCTAAAGTCATTTATCTAAATGTGAATCAGACACATTATGTAGATGTTAGAATTACATTTAGACGTGGAATCCAAATTAAAGATGTATTTAGTGGATAATTAATTGCTATTCAAAGATTAAATAAATAAAATTCATGCATTGATTTTTTCTATAAAAAATATCTTATTACAATGAAAAATTCAAGATAGCACATGGAAAAAGTCCCATAATTGTATTTATGCTTTATCTGTATTAATAAATCAAGTCTTACATTTGTCACGTAACATTGAATAATTCCCATCTTGTACAAAGTATTGCATCCAAGCTTGGATTGTTGAGACCGCGCATTACTGAGCTGAGGTATTACAATTATATTCTGGAAAATCAAGTCTGGATACCTGGAAGCATCTCTTGAAGTTCCCAGGTAAAGGTATAGGCGCAGTTTGCAATGAAGGGTGTTATTGCCCAGAAGGGTGTATAGTTCACTGGAATTCACCTAATCGAGTTTCCTGTAATTGAATGTGGTAAATTAACTTCCTCTGTATATGGCGCTTGCAGATAAGTATCGTTTTAGAGAATCAAAAGCTTGCAAAAATTCAGACCCTCACGCAGTACCAAAGGTATGGTATGCTATTGGGAGCGTGCCTTGTTTCTTATACCACTTTGCTTATATTTGAGCATGCTATTGGAAGGCAACTTGCATCCAGAATTTGAATTAAATCATCTTTATTGCTGTGAAACATTATTTGATCAACGTTATAGTTGCACAGACTAATCTAGTTGGGCGCTCCTGATTTATTATATAAATTAGTCTTCATTCATAATTTATGCCCTTTTAAATTCTTTTTCTGTAACCTGTAAAAACTGTCACTTCTAAATATTTCATTTTACAATTTTTTGTTTTATTTGTTGGATAAAAGAATGCCTGAACTTAACAAAGATATTCTTTTTTTAATTTTTGAAGAATTGCATGAAGATTCAAAATCTCTCTTTTCGTGCCTAACGGTTAATAGACTTTGGTGTGAAAATGTAATTCCAATTCTATGGAGGAACCCTTGGAACTACATTATTAATTATGATGATAAAATTTCTTTATATTATATTGTTATGTTCTATTTACCTAACGATATTAAAGAATTGTTAGCAAGACAACCTCCAGAATCAATTTCATTTGATTATCTATCTTTTTGTAAAAGTATTGATGTAGATATTTTGAATATTATAATTTCTAGAGGATCTTCAAGCTCATATAATCAATTTATTTTACAAAGAGAAATTTACGGTCTCATAATTAGAAAATGTCCTGAATTAAAATATTTGAATATTAGATCAATTGAACATCAAGTATTTTATTTTCCAGAAGCTAAGTCTCGTCTTGAATCACTCTGTGAATTGAAATGTGACACATCTATTGATTCTTCATACTTTTATGGATTAGCTAGTATCTGTCAAAATATACATAGAATTATTATTACTAATGAAGGAGTATCAGTTAATCATGGAATTGTTAAATTAATAGAAGTTCAAAAAAATTTAAAATATTTTGAATGGGAAGATAATTTTGGATATGAAGAATATATTGGGGATCCATATGATGAAATTTTTCTTGCATTAACAAAAAATGCAAGTTCCCTTAATCATTTAATACTGCTCTTTCAATTTATTGAAGGTTGTGAATACCAATTTCTTCAAGAGACACTTCCAAAACTTTATAAATTAAAAACATTAATAATTACTAATGTTTTTATTTTTATTAATGAATACAAATTAATTTATCATGAACTTGAGGTCTTTAATGTAGATTATATTTCATTAAGTGCAGCTTCTAGTATAATTGAAAATAGTAGAGGAAATCTTAGGGAAATTTCATTAAGATATTATAATAATTACGATTATGAAGTTAATTTTAATGAAGATTCTCTCGTTTATATTCGTAAAATTTATGAAAATTGTCCTTTAATAGAATATTTATCACTTACGTTTTCATCAGAAAATTTTATTGAATTTGATAAATTATTAAAAGCTTGCCAAAATCTAAAATCATTATTATTATTATTTATACATAATTCTGATAGAGAAGAAACTGGAAATGAATTACTAAAAATATTAATTAGGTCGGCACCAACTAGTCTAAGAGAAATTAGATTTTTCAATGATTTTCAATTTTCTTTGAAAAACTTGGAGGAATTCTTTGAAAAGTGGAAAGGCCGGCCCGCACTTTCCATACAAACAGCGTATTTAAGAGATGATTATATGGAGTTGATCGACAAATATAAAAGCATTGGAGTAGTTGAAGATTTTAAATGCGTTCCTATGCTAGATATATATTTTTAAATATAGGGTCACAGATAACGTTATAGAACTTTTTTTTTTTTCTTTATAGCATGAAATTAAAAAGAATTGATGAAATTTTTAGAATTTAAAGCCAAAAATAATATCTAATATAACAAAGTTGTAGATTTATTACAGAATTGTAAAAAAAAAAATGATTAGATTTTTTTCTATTGTATTTAAGTATTTTTCTCATGATTACTAATTGGTCGCCAGTGATTTTTATCTTTTCGTTATTTTATTGTCCGGAGCGAAGCGTAGGTATGGTCATGGACAATTTGTGATATCCCTGTAATTCTGTAATTTCCACCCCCCCTGCTCTCCTTTTTAGGTTATGCAATATAACACTAATATAACAATGTACCTGATCGATTTTTTTGTAGCATATTGATCACGTACCTTTATTTTTACTAAGATTACGTGACAATTCATATGAATTTCGGCCGTCTACTGTATAATGTACAGTATATACGATTACTAAATGCCTGCTTCTCATAAAAATGTAAATTACTTCCCCTTAATAATAGTTACAATGGAATATTCTAAAGTAAGCTCAACCTTTATATCTCGCTGTGTATCACGTGATCTACTTAAGATTTTTTTTGTTGTGAAACACTATTGGCGTTAACAATCACATGGAATGCATGGTTATACAAATTTAGTTTACATTCAGTTTTATTCCTTTCCATTGTTGATAAATTTTTCTTCTAAAAATATTCAAACTTGTTCTCATTTATTGGTAAAAGAATGCCTGAATTTAATAGAGATATTCTTTTTTTGATTTTTGAAGAATTACAAGAAGATTCAAAATCACTCTTTTCATGTCTAATGATTAATAGACTTTGGTGTGAAACTGTTGTTCCAATTTTATGGAAAGATCCATGGCGCTATAATATTAAATATGCTAATAAAAATTTTTTATATTCGATTATCACTTCTTATTTGTCCAATGATATTAAAGAATTCTTAACAAGAGAAGGAACTCAAATTTCAAACCAATCACTCACATTTGATTATTTGTCTTTCTGTAAAAGTATAAATGTAAATATTATTAATAATATAATTTCTATCGGAACAGCATCAACTTTTAAGCAGTTTCTCTTACAACAAGAATTTTATAATATTATGATTAGAAAACGTTCAGAGTTGAAATGTTTGAATATGATATCACTTAAACATCAAATATTTAACTTCCCGGATGCTAAAGCTTATCTCGAAACACTTTGTGAATTAAAATGTGACACATCTATTGAATCTTCATACTTTTATGGATTAGCATTTATTTGTCAAAATATTCAGAGGTTAACCATTATTAATAATGTTGTAAAAGCTAATTATGGAGTTGCTAAATTAATTGAAGTTCAGAGAAATTTAAAATATTTTGAATGGGAGGATGATTTTGATGAAGATTATTTTACAGAAGAAGATCCTTATGAAAAAGTTCTTCTTGCATTAGAAAAAAATGTTGATAATATCAATCATTTAAAGATTATCCTTTCATACGTTGAGGATTTTGAACACATATTACTAATGAAGTTATTTCCAAAATTTCATAAATTAAAAACGTTAATAATTGAAGATTTCAATTTTATTATTCAAGAACAACTTAAAACATCAGTATATCGTGATCTTGAGGTCCTTGAATTATTTTATATTTCATTAGATGTAGTTTCTATTATGATTGAAAATAGTGGAGGACATCTTAGGGAAATTTTATTAGAATATGATTATTTATTCGAGGAAGATAATTTTAATGAAGATTCTCTAATTTTAATACGTAAAATTCATGAACATTGTCCTTTAGTTGAACGATTATCGCTTGCGTTTTCGCCTTCAGAGCAACATTTCACAGAATTTGAAAAATTATTAAAAGTTTGTCGAAAATTAAAGTCTTTATTAATTATACCATATTTTAAAGAATTTAAAAAAAATTATGAATATGGAGAAGAATTATTGAAAATAATAATTAGATCATCATCAACTAATTTAAGAGAAATTAGATTTTTTGAACAATTTATATTAACTTTGAAAACTTTGGAGGAATTCTTTGAAAATTGGAGAGGTAGGCCTGCACTTACCATATTTACATCTAATCCCATTTATGAAGAAGAAGATTACGTAAAACTAATTAATAAATATAAAAAAGATGATGGTGTGATTAAAGATTTTCGATATAAATTATTTAGAGATCTATTTAATTTTAGATGAATTACTTTTGTAGATATAGTAAATGAATATTTTTAAATAAATAGTGTCATATATGTAATGTTCAAATATTTGATCCTGATTGGTTATTCATATAAAAATTGTTATAATTATATAATTATTATTTAGAACCATTTAAAGATGCTAATTTGGAAATGGCGGTAAACTTGTCAAATATATTAATTAGAGCAGCACCAATAATTTGAATTATTATCTCACATTGAACCATTACTGGAAATTTTTGACATTTTTTTTTTTCGTAATACAACTGAGTCCGATCGATCAAACTACTAATTTATTTGATCACAATAAATCAGTTAAATTGATGCTTTTTATTATTGATTTTTAAATTTATTTAATAATAGTTTAAATTGATTAAATCATCTCAGATTATTTGGGACAATTAAATAATTTAACCAATAAGAAGTTTTGGTAAGTTTCATCATATATCGTCATGTTTTAAATTTCACGGAGGTTTTGGGAATTAGAAGACTAGACTCATAAGTTTGCCCACAACACTATTTAGTTTAATGTTATAACGTTTCAATGAAATGTTCTAGCCACATAATCAAAATTTTAAAAATCGTATTACATTATTTTTCAAAAATTTAAAAAATCTATCGTATTTCTACCTCCCACGTGACCTAAAAATATTCATCACCGGCATTACACCACAAATTATTTTTCACATTTTCAATGTCACCGGTCACGTGGGGTAGAATTTTATTGTTGGTGTTACAACGGTAATTTTGCGACATTTGATCATTTACACAATTATTTGTGACCTGATCACAGCGTAAATATTTATTTATTTAGTCAACTCCGTATATGATTTTCTTTTTAACCTTGACCTTTTTTAATTGAAATATCTTTTAGAACTTTACTAATTTATAATTTATTGATATGGAAATATCAAAGGAAGAATCCGAAGGAAGGTCGAAGAATTTATGGAAATATGTTGGTTATTATCATGTAAAATGAATTTCATATAATTAAGAGTTTAATATTTTAATATAATATTGATTTTTAAAATTATCATTTACTTTGTTTTAAAAAAAAGGAACATGTAACCATTATCAATCCAATCACTAAATCAGAAGAGATAAAAATGAGTTATATGGAAGGTTTGGAAGAAGGTAACCCTTATGTTGAAGACACTCATTCAATTACTGAACATGAAAAGAATAAAGTTACTTATAAGAAAGGCTTACAAGAAGGACTTTTTGTCGAATATAGTCATCCAATTATTAAATTTGAAGAGAATAAAGTTATTTATATGGAAGACCTAGAAAAAAGAAAAGAAGCATATGGAATATGTGGAGAATGTAATGAACCTGGCACTGGAGAAAAATGGTGTCAAACTTGTAATGCTAAAAGATTGAAGGAAAATTTTAAATTTTGGACTAGTGGAAATAAAATTATTGACGAATTTATACAGAAATCACAACTTGAAGCAACACATTGTACAAATTGTATTGAATGGATACCTTTTGAAAAATTTCATAATGTTACTTATATTACCAAAGGTGGGTTTGGTGAAATTTATTCAGCTGATTTTCCTGAAGGATTTATCAATTGTTGGGATATAGATAATCAAAAATGGGATAATATAACGAACAAAAAATGGGTGCTGAAAAGTTTAGGAAATAATAACTTAACTTCCGAATTTTTAAATGAGGTAAATAAGATTAAAAAGAATTACTTAGGTTTATTAATTAAAATCATTATTAATTTTCTTCATTTTTATTACTTACATTAGGTCGGTTCTCATCTTCAGATTTTTATTCAAAATGTTATTGTATGCCGTGGAATAACTCAGGATCCCAGTACAAATAATTACATGATGGTTTTAGATTATTGTGATAGAGGGGATTTGAGAAATCTTAATATATCCGAATTAGATTATAAAGAAAGAATTAATATTTTAGTAGAAATTGCAAGAGGCCTATTAGAAATTCACAATGCTGGAAAAGTTCACAAAGATTTCCATTCAGGAAATATATTATTCTATAGTACGCATTATGATGAACGAGATATACAGAGCAGGGAAGGTGAACCGGTTTTTTATTATAATATACATGCATATATTAGTGATTTAGGATTGTGTCGACCAGTTAATAATGAAAAGCTATCGGATGAAATACGTGGAATAATACCTTATATGGCACCAGAAGTTTTACGTAATCAACACCCATATACAAAAGCAGCAGATATTTATTCATTCGGAATAATAATGAATGAATTTTTATCTGAAGAAGCTCCTTTTTATGATTCTTCTTATGATCATTTACTAATGGTTGACATATGTAATGGGATTAGACCAAGGATTTCTAAAGACATACCAAAATTATTTGCAGGTTTAATAAAAAGGTGTTGGGACCCCGAAATAGAAAATAGACCAACTGCTAAAGAATTGTTTCTTATATTAGCAAAATGGCAGATTAATATATTGTCTGATAGTTTGCAGGATAATGAAGAAAACAACGATAATAATAGTACTTGTTACAGCAATTTTAAAGATGCTTTAGAAAATTTTAAGATTAATAAGGTTGAAGATGATAAAGATGATGAAAATGGCAAAGATGACAAAGATGATGATTATGGAGATGATAAAGATGATAATAAGGATATGGAAGATATTTATCTTGAAAATATTGAAGATACCTACGAAACTATTGATTATGATGAAAGTGATTGTGTAGGTTTTTTTAGTGAAATTTATAATCAAATAAAGGAGTGCGAAAAGATAAGAGAAAATAAATTAAAAGACAAAAATGAGCTTAAGAATATTAAAGCTACAACTTATTCTCAAGAGACCTATAGCAGCAGTTTAATACCAGAAAATGAAAGTTCTCAATATCGATTAATTTCAGATAATTATTCAGATTGTGAAATTGATTGAATATTGGATAAGTATTTAATTTTTTACTTCTTTATTTTTGTTTATTTTTGTTTATATAGTTATTTACGTTATTTCATTTATAATATTTATGATTTTATTGATTTATTATTGTAAGATTTTATAAATAAATTTATTTTATTCACAACCGATGAAAATATCAAACAAAAATTGATAAAATGGTGCCATAAAAACCATGATGAAAATCTGTATCAAATTTTATGATAGTGCCGATTTCAGATGGATTGGCAATTAAATAAACTATAATAAACGTTTCCTCTGTAGTTTTTTATTGAAACTACGTGAAAAGATAAATGTTGCACAAAATATCTGACCAATAAAATTCGTCAAGTCATGTTAGCGTTGTAACGGCCTGCGTAAAAATTATCATTTTTTTTTTATATTTTTTATATTAAGAATAAATTAAGACACTTAAGAGTATCGGTAATATACTTTGATAATATTCCTCCAGGTAAAGAATATACATTGGAACGTCAAAATTTTTGATTAGAAATAACCAGCAGTGCAGTGGTCAATTAAAAGGTTTCACCAATATCGATAAGTTTCGGCAATTTCGCCTTAGTATATGTACATTTAAAGGCAGAAATTTTAGGGATTCATTATTTTTTTCAGCATCAGTACTAGTTAATCTGACAACTAAATTAATTTAGTATTTTTTTTTTTTTTTGTAAAAGTAATGAATTTTTTTCTTCTTCCAATAAAGACAATTTTAAGTCATAATTATAATAAAATTGGAAATGGCTAATAATACTTTATTATGTTCATCTGTAAGTGGAACTTTATAAAATGCAAATACAGTCTCAATGTTCCAATTTTTCCAATTTTCAAAAAAAGATTTTGATCCATTAACAGTAAAAATCCATTCTTCACTAAAGTAAATTTTGCATAAAGTTTTTGGTGAATATTTTAACAAAATTTCAAAGAATTTATCACAATTAAGATTATTTTCATTATATAATGAGAGATTTATCATTCTTAATTGATTACAATTTAAAAAAATTTCTTTAATATCATCCAAATTTTCAAATTCAATTTCTATAGTTAATCTCTCAAGATTTGGACAATATTTAACAACACTATTAATTAATTTTTTGGTATAAATAGAATCTGGTTCTTGAGATATATTGATTTCTAAAATCTTACCATTAGATTTTTCAATTAACATATAATCATTATAAAATGGTAAATATGTAGTTTCAAGATGTTGAAGATTTGGGAAAGAAGAAATTGATAAATATTTTTCCCATTCTTTCATTTCTACGCTCCCATCATAAAGTATTTCACTGTTATGAAGCCTTAAACATCGTAGATTTATTAATGATGGAAAAAAATTAGGTGAAAGTGAATTATCAGTTAAACTTATTTCAACTTCTTGAAGTGTAATGGCTTTTCTTCCTATCACGTCACTTAATTCTTTACATTGCTTTTTTACATTATTAAATTCTAATCTTAATGATTTCAATTTTGTTTGAACATCAATAAATCTATTTAATCCTGGAATATCTCCATCACAATATAGTATTGTTAGATCCTCAACATTTTTACAAATTTTTGCCATTCCAAATAATATTGTTGAAGATACATTAAGAACATTAATTGTTAAGACACAGATCTGAGAGAAACAAGTTAATGCACCTGGAAATTGATATAAATGTTGTGTTGTATTCAAATAAAAACACTTGATATCTTTACAATTACTGATAAATAACTTATAAACTTCTCGTTCTAGTAAATTTCTTTTATATAAACCATATTTATCTTCCTTTTTAATTAGAGTTTCTATCATATTCTTGATAAAACGTGATGGAACTTGGGGAGAAATATTAATGTAATTAAATAATGGTCGATTCGAAAAGGTAATATTTTCATTATCAATATTATTAATTAATAACATCTTTGAATATGATGGTAACAAATAAATTATTGTATTATAAAGTTTAGAATTAGATGAAATTTCATTGTCATCAAAGTTTCTATTCCACAATATTGGTATAGCTACACGGTACCAGAACTTATTTACTAAAATACATGAATATAAAGATTTTAGATCATATTTCAATTTAATAAAAACAATTCTGAGACAATCTTCGTTGAGATATGACATTATTGAGTTAATGAATGAATGAAAAGAAGAATAGTCAAAGAATAAAAAGTTAATGAATGAAAAGGAGAATAGTCAAGAATAAGGATATGGTAATACCAAATTGTAAATACCCTCTTCTTTTATTTATATTTTTTTTTTGTAATATGTAATGCTAATAATAAGTCACATATTGCTGTTAGTTGTAGATGACTCTCAGGAACACTGTTATAGAATCGCCGTCCTAAAATTATATTAATACAAAGTTAGATGTACTCTGAATCACTTCAGAATACTCTTCAAAATATTAGATGTTACGATGATTTAAAGACTGTTAACATCGTAGTAATGTTATGTGACAAGTGACACGTGTCAGGTATCAATGACGCACGTCAGGCTATCAATTGACGCAAATCGACACCTGAGGCACAACAAATATATGTCTGATAATAATAATATGTTATATGTATCAGACCCAACTATCTGATTCTAAACTATAATAATTACGGTTAATTGTGTTACTTATTTATATATTGGCCGGAGTGGGGGTATTTAAATTTCCAGGCTTAATAAATTTTTTTATCACATTAAAAAAAATATGTAATCCTAAAATATTAGGTTAATTATCATGGAAAACACTTTATTCAAAATTGTTTATAAATTACAAAATTTCATAAAAAGTGAAAAAAGTGTTTACTATGGAAGACCTTATTGTGCAGATACATACATCATACAGGTGACACGCGTCAGTTATTAACTGACGCAAATCGATGCATAAAACACAACATATATATTCATTTTTATAAGTTGTATGCAAAGTGACTTATTTTTATTACTCCAAATATCGATTACGTCGATTACGATTAACTGGTCATGTATTAATTGATTGGCTATATATCACGTGTTTGTAGAGTGATCAATCATTGTTAATTACATTGAAACTTTCATTTTTTGTTGAGTTATTGAGTGATACACATCAATCATTAACATATAAGCGTAATTTCAATTGATTCTACACATAGAATATTAAGACACAAAATTAGTAAGTACGTTGCCGCAAAAACTTTCATATGTTGATATATTGCACGATAGTACAGCAAATAAATAGAATCTATTTATTTTAATACATACAAATATTGATTTCAATTGACAAATGTGACATGATCTCTTATTACGCAAAAATGCATAAATTATAAAGTTATAATTTTACAAAGAAATCTCATGATTTCACATAAATCATAATATTTAAACCTACTTACACAGGTGCCGAAATTGTTGTTCATGTTCTCATATTAAAAATCCACATTCTTGCTCTTCAATTGGTAATGCTAAAAAAATTAATTAAAAAAAAAAATCGTTAGTATGGTTGGTACCAGAGACCACACAACATAAAAAAAAAAAACCTCCAAGAAAAGTGAAGGTAGCAAAACCACTTCAGTGTACTGTCATGGTCTTGATACTAACGTAGGAGTGTGTTGGTTAACCCTTCTTCAGGAAAACCAGTTCACTCCTCTTCTCTTTTCAGTCTTTTTTTGTCTGTAAGCTTATTTATCGAAATTACCCTGCTTAGCCTGCCTAGCCTGCTTACCTAAATAGACTCAATAGATGCATGAAATACTATTAACTCGGTAAAACCTATGTCCTTGTTGATATTGTTGATAGAAATAATTTCTTCTTCAACAAGTGCAAAAAGTTCAATACGGTATTGTCCGGTTTCTTGTGTAAGTTTATTTATTAAGTAGATATATTAATAAGAAGGGTAAAAAAATTAATAAAAAAAAAGAGGGAAAAGTAGGGGAAATAAGGTCTTTTTATATCTTTTTTTTTGTTGTACAAACTTTTGTAATGGAAAATAAATCTTTTTCAGATTTTCCCACAGGTACACACGAAAACGCGAAAAATAATCAGTTTTCGCGTCTATTAATACTATAGTATATATATTTAATCAATCTAATCAATCTTAACTCGGCCCCACAGTCCAAATACGGGTTTACATATGAAAACGCCGAAAACGCCAAAATACAGTTTTCGCATTAAACATATAAACTATTAGTTATTAAATAATACTTATAGTATATTTAATCAATAAACTCAGAAACGCCGAAAACGCCAAAAAAAATAATCAATAAACCCAGAAACGCCGAAAACGCCAAAATACAGTTTTCGCGTCTATTAAGCATTAAAATAAACTAAAACTTTAATATACTATAGTAATAAACTATTAGTTATTAAATAATACTATACTATAGTATATTTAATTAATCTTAACCCACAGTCAAATTAATTCATAGTTTTCCACGGGTTACATATGAAACTTTAATACACATGAAAACGCGAAAGATAATCAGTTTTCGCGTCTATTAAACATATTAAACAAATTTTAAATCTTCCCACGATTAGAATTTCAACCTCCAGAAATTTGTTTCTACACATTATGACCAATTATATCTCCAGAATTTCTTCACTCTTACCAGATTTTCACGATTTGACCACAATGCGTCCGGGATCTTTCATGGAAATTCTTAACATTATTCCCTTTATCATGGCCCTCGTTTCTATTTTAAGAACCATAACTTAATGATATTCCGGCTAAAATTACTCTTTGAAGCACTTTCGACCCTATAGCAACGAAGGTGAGGTGGGTTTTTGTACGGATCTGAAAAATTCCTGCACCTAATGCACCTAACTTTCTATTGTACTATAATAATCCAACTCAGGATCCGGTTTATCGAAGATCCAGTTTATTGTGTAATTTAAATATATAAGATTATACAGTATAATATTATTTATACTCACGTAATTACATTATTCTAGAAGTTGGATCAGTTGTTTGAACGGAATATCGAGATAAAAGAAATGATATAAAGATGTATTACAAACACGCCAAAAATATTTTTAATAGTTTTTTAATGATAGCAGCATTAATAATAGTCATTGTGAACAACTAATAATGGCGTGAATAATATTGTACAGTTTCGAAATTAAGCAACCATTTTTAAACTTAATTCCGGCCAAAGACCTCATAATTCTGGGTTCGGAACTGTATGGTATTCGATACTGACTATTATTTATAGTGACCAAAAAAAGGAGATTTATTATCTAAATTTTGTTTAATGTTAGACAATTTGTCATAATTATTAAATGACGAGTTATTTATATATTCACTCTTTTAAAGACATTTTAAAAATCATAGTATTCATGTTTGGCAGATTTCAATGATAATGATCGGTGAAAATTGACATTTATTTACCATTTTTAATTATAACGTATAACAAATAGGGACTAGTAGAAGAAATCAAGTTTTTTATTCAATTAAGCCAAAACCAAAAAAAAAAAAAAAATATCGAACATTATTTTAATATGCCATATTGCATATATATTTTAAAATAAGATCACATTAGAAAATTATTATTTGAAATAATTGAAAGCGAAATAAAATTAAAAAATTAAATTAAAAAAAAAAAAGCTCAAACTACTTTACACTAATTATAAATGTAAAACTTTAAATTATTAAAAAATTAAAAAGATATAATAAATTAATTGTCCGTCAAGAGATGATCAGATTCATCATGAATTTTGGACTATCAAATATCCAAAAAAAATGTTACATTATGGAACATGAATTTGTAGGGTTGCCTGGATTTTCTGTTATTTCAGAGACAACGACAACTGGTTTTGTGGGAGTTTTTACGATTATTTGATTCATTTTAAATTTGTTTGTTTTATTTGAAAAATTTTTAGAGTTTTTTTTTGATAATTTTGTTTCGTTTAAAGATTTAAAGAATCTTTAGTTTGTTTGATTTATTTTGTTCTTTGAAAAATTTTGATACTATACAAGAAAGCGAAAATGAAGTTATATTTATAATGAATCGAAACAAGCGAAGATATTAATATTATCTAAAAAACCGAGGAAAATCGAATATTCTCTTCTCACAGATTACTTATTTCCCTTAAATGCTTCCAAACGAAAATAGCAAACTATTGTAAAGAAATTTCGTATTGTGTTATATGTTCTTACCTTGTCAAATAAAAAAGAACTAATTTTAAGACCAAATTAGGAAAGTTAACATAATTGTGCATTATTGCGCATTATACACATGCAAATCATTTAATATAGTTCGGCCTTAATTTCGATACGTCAAATGCCGCCAATTTTGAATTAACATAAAAATAGTTGTATAAAACATGTGGTTTTTAGAAGCTTTTTGGGCTGTGAAAAATTTATAAGCATGGCTTAACATGTGATTGCTAAAATTTTATTGTACAGTAGTATTTTCCGATTTCCGGGTGATATGATTTTGTTGCAATTTGCAAATTCTCTGATACCCGATTTTCTGTCCTTAAATAATACTCTCTCTTTGTGAACTCATTCAACATTAACATATTTTAATTCATAATATTTATTATCTCAAAGTTTCAAATTGTTTATTTTTTTAAATAACTTTATAACTTTTTTACATTTTATTTAACACAACGAATTTCTGCAGATCCATTGTAATTGACTTACAGATCACGAATTAATATTTTATTTCTTTGGTGGAAATTATCACAATTTAATAATAATAAAGTTTTCAAGATTTGATCATATAATTAATTAACTGAATGGTTTTTTTATTAATTTATTAAATCATTTAAACGATAAAAAGGATAAAAAAGTAAAATTAAATAATACAAAATATTTAAATATGCTATACAATCAATTTTAAAAATATAATAAATCATTCATTCATCCCACTAAGCAAAAAATCGTAAAAAAGCCGATCAATTTTATTCGCGGAGAATTTTCCAAAGAAGAATCTTGACGTTTTACATTATGGAGCATGAATTGGTAGGATTTCCTGGATTTTCTGTTATTTCAGAGACAACGACAATTGGTTTAGCAGTAATAGTGTCGATGGTTGTTTGCTTCATTTTGATTTATATAATTTATATATGAAAAGTATTTGAACGCTTTTGTTCTTTTTTTTTTTATTGTTTCGTTCGTTTCGTTTAAAAGAAACCTTTTGATTTGTTCGTTCTTTTGAACTTTTTTTGTTATTTGATGGAAGGGCGAAATAAAGTTATTTTTATCCTGAATACATACAAGTTTCGGATCAATCGGACTTTATAGTAAAGAGGTTAAAACATATGAAATATGGGAAGAATACGTGGCGTTTTTATTATCCCTATATGTCAAATAAAACCATTACGAAGTAAATCCCTTAACTACATTAGAATTACCTTCTTAATTCATCATAGTTTTGTTCTACCTATTATGTCGTGATCTACAATTTCGGCAAATGATTCAAGGAATTGAAAAAAGTTTATCTAACTTTTATTAATTAGCATAAATCTGACTAATCAATTATTTTTTAAAAAAAATGAGCATTATCTATTATTATAGAATAATTATAATCTACTTCGCCACTTGAGTATTCATGTCTCTAAATATTTATTATTATTACTAATTTCTAAAAATTTTCATACTCATTTTCCTCGTTTCAATACTAAATAATACTAATGTATTGCCGGCGTGCATGATTATTTCTTTCTTTGTTGACCTGAAATATTAATAATATCTCTCGAATTTAATTGTCAGTTCAAACATAAGAATATGAAAAATAGTAAATTCTGATCGGCAGAGAATTGAATAAGAACTGGAATTACTAATAAATTTTCTAGAAATTATCGTCAATCATCTTTTAAAACTTTAAATATATTTGCTAATGACACTTACTTAAAATGATGCCTATATGTCACAAAAATAATCCCAATAAAGATAGATTGTATGGTAAATTCTTTTGTTAAATTGGAAATTTGGAATTTCAATTACAAATTTCTCAAATTGAATTTTGATGTTTTATTGGCACCGACAAAAAAAATATTATCACGTGACTTTTGGCTGAATTATTTATTTATCACTTAAAAGTAATTGTTACAATGAATTTTTAAACCAATTTACGTAATTAGTTGATTTTTCTTCCGTTGGTGTATCATAATTATAGAGATAGTATTATTGATAATGTTTCTTTGGGAAAATTTTTTAATGTATGACTGTATATATTCGAATTATTTGATGCTTACGTCTTTGGTCCGACCGGGTCTATCTTATTTATCGCTTGAGTAATGAATGTCATGTCGAAACATCAATCATATGATGTACATGAAATTACAATGATAACGCCTTATCAAATAACTGATGTTTTTGTACTTTGTTATTTAATCATGTGGCCAAATAATTGCCTTGCTGATTAGATTTTCACAATTATTTTGATCCACATGATTATATAAAATTTTGATCTTTCTGTGTCATATGATGTTATAATTCACTAAATGCTAAATATATTCAACTAGCCTATATTAATTATTTATTAAATCTCTCATTTTATTATGATCTTTTCGATTACTGATAACAGAGTCCCTAAAAGGTAATTTTCATATTGATTAAATTATTAATACAACTTATTCATGTGTTCATGTGCTTATGGTTAAATTTAGAGTTTTACCTAATTTCATATTTCAAATTCATTTATAACAAACAAACAATAAAAAAAAAAATTGTTAAATGACTCCGCCGGATTAGTACTTTCAAAAAATAAAATGAATTCAAATAATTAGGAAATTTGAATAAACGAAAATAAGGCGTATCTTATAATTATGAAAAGAATTTTTTTGATTGATAGATCTAAATAGATATGACGTATAATTCCAAAAAAAAAATAAAAAAAAGAAATTGTGCAAAAAGAAATAACATATAAATATATCAATTTGACATGATAAATTAAAAATTTCTACATATTATTCATATTATCTTCGTAAATAATTGATAATGAGGAATATTCGACCTTTTGAGTTGGTACTTTTCGCAATCATACTTTTAGTATTTCAGGTATGTTTGCAAAAATAAAAATAAAAAATTTAACGCCATCAACTATATTCACTATGACTTTTATATACATTTATTAATGATAAATTGTTAGGTTGACCAAACCTTATCGTCAGTGCCACTTGTAGTCAATGACAATTTTGATAATTTCGTGACATTCACTGGAAGGGATGTTTTTACCGCTTTTAAACTTGCGTCTAAAATAGGTGAACTGAACATTAGTTTTCATATATCATAAAAATTTAAATACGGTAATATAAATATTGAAGCAAAGAAGGAAAATTAAGAAAAAAATTGCTATTTTAGAATATAGCTGGGAATTTGTTGAAGGAGATGCTTCCGCCTTATCCTTGTTTGTGTTAGATGAAAAAACTTTGAAAGAACACCCAGAATGTTTCGTAGTTGAAAACTGTAAAGTTTTTCCTTATCCAGAAGCTTCCTGTATCAGCGGAGGTTGCGGAAATGGGGCAAAATCACTAAATTCGAATTTGCCAAAACAAAGACTAATGTTGGCGATTGTCAAAGCAAACTTCGACAGCTCTTTGAAATTAAAAATCAAAATCACATTTGACCCTCCAGACACTCCTAAACCAGAAGTCTCAGGCACTCCTAAACCAGACACTTCCCATCCCCCTTTATTAACGCCAACTGTGACACCTCACCCCGGGAATCTACTTACTGGAGACATTACTCCAGATGGATATGCCAATTGTGGATCTATCAAATTCAACGATTTTAGAGTTTTGTATTCAAAAGAACAGAATAATATAGAACTATATTTAGAAGGCAATGGTGAAAATATTCAAAGTCAAGGTATTTTTGTAATATATATTGTACTGATTATTAATTTCTTATTTAATAATAAAGTATATGTAGCATTGAAGTTGTAAATTTTTTCAAAAAAAAAAAGCAAAAATTTTCGTCTATTTTGATGCGGAACATATTGTATACAAGAAGTTTCCCATACAATTTAATGGACTATTTACCTATAAAGATAAGTTTTCAACAAACTTTGATGATAGAATTCCTGGTATTTATTTTGGTATAAGCTTTCTGGATGCTTGTTATTACTTTTGGAATGGTAAATAATCTTTGCGTTTAAATTGGAAAAATCTTAGATTCATTCTTCAACGTTCCTGGCACTGGTTCCTATGCAATACTTACCCTCCAAGATGCTGACCAAGGATGTGTTACAGCCCCTATTGGTAGCCAAAGCACGGCATACTCGAATGGAATTACTGGAATCTCAATGACTATAGCATTAGCGTTCATACTCTTATCTGCTTCATTATTATTTCTTAGGAGAGATGTAAATTACAGTATTTACCCAAAGAAATGGTGGTCAATAGGTGAAGGCATAACTGACATTAGTAGAACGACCGATGATAATATAAATCGGAACATACCATCGTTGATTCCTATAAGTGCTACGGCTACTGCCTCGTATAATTCATCATTAACACAAATTCCGTCCATTTATGATCTTATAAGTGTCGCTCAGTGGATTGTTACTATAGCATTGCTTACACTTCCAAATCTACCAGTTGGTTACCGTCAATTTGCTTCTAATTTTGGTTGGTCAACAGGAACAGGTGGTGGAATAAATGTCCAAGCTTTTTCCAATGCCGCCAGTAATTTGCGAAAGCTAGTGTGTCCTTTATCACCCGTTGTATGCACCTCATCGTTAAATCAGTTTGACACGTGCCAACCTTGGTTTAATTCTGATGTAACACCAGAGCACTTATTCACTGCAAGTATAACCAACGGAGACAAAACTTATTTTCCAGATCCTACTGGATTTGAATCTTACTCAAACGCACTCCATATACCAAATAGTAATATATTCTTTGTCATGTTCGTAGCATTATTATTAGCTATTGGTGCAGCTTTAATTATCATGTTATTGATCGGTGCTATAGCATTTATGATGAAAGAAAAAGTAAAGATTTTTGAAAAAGTCAACAAAAATATGCGTTTTTTAGTATTTGGTAAGTCAAGTTTTTGGTTTTTTTTTATTAAACGTTGTTACTTAAAAGTAATAGTTATGTAATCATTCCTATTATTATATTTCGTAATTCGTTATGCGAAGGTGCTATTTTGCGTGTAGTGAGTAATATAATTTTATTGCATATTCGAGACTTGTTTAGCACATCTGTATACAACTAATTCACCATTAAAAATTGGTACGGCACTATAATAATTGTTAGGTCAATACGATGTATTATCCTATTACTCTTTTTTCTCTATATCAACTGACCCAATCCAGCGACTGTTGGCTTTTACTCATGCTCGCGTCTATAATGTTCATAGTAGTTGCCGTAGGACTTCTTCCTTTCTGCATCTACAAGGTCTTGTCCACTTTTAAAACAGATGCTGATCTTCTGTGGAATGAGAAATACAAGATTTTATTTGGTGTACTATATACAGATTATTTAAAGGATCGTGTATGGTTTGTCATCCTAATTATGGTATACCAGTTTCTTCGTTCGCTAATAGTAGCAATTGGTCACCACAGTGGAATTGCACAATTAACATGTCTTGTCATCTTGGAATTTGCGTACTTAATAACCGTCTATTATTTTAAACCATTTGAACGAAATTTGGCCAATATTTTTAACATAACACTTTCTGCTGGACGTCTGATAGTCCTCTTTCTTCTTATACCATTCTTGGGTGGTGATATTACAATCACGCCTACAACTCGCTTCTCCTTGGCTATTGTGTTAATTATCATACAACTTCTAATGGCAGTTTGTGTTGGTGGATTGATCCTCCTCAATATCCTCTGTGCTGCTTTTAAGTTCCTGTTTAAAAAGAATGCTAAAACAGATGAGAGTGCTGACTTAAATCAAACACAAGAAGCTGGTGACGATAATAACTTATCTATTAAGGAAAAAATTGATGATTAAAATGATTAGTAAGTTTGTTAAGTTTGCATCAAGAAATATTTACATTAAAAAAAAGTTGATTTAAATTTATAATTATAATGGCTTTACAATTTACATTTTTATTACTCTTTTATATTTAATAATATATGAATGAAGTTCTTTTTTTAAATACTCGTTAAAAATTTGAAATTTTGATTTTGATGTTGCTCAACCATTTTCATAAGTAAATTAATAAAGAACCATGATTATTCATTTTTATTCCCTTGAGACCGCACGTTAGCTGCACTTTTACCAGTAAGTCACGATGATATTAGCTAATAACACTTTTTTCAACTGCTAATATTGTTTTACACGTTGCAATACATATTTTGAATGTTTTTAAGTAGCATTTATTGACAAAGGGTTTGTTGTCTGACATTTTTTGGTGTTGAGCAACGCACGATATTTATTGACACATTATACGTCTATCCAAGCTTGTTCGAGAAAAAAAGTAGACAAATGAAAGTTTGGTCAAGGTAAAAAAAATCTACTTTTGCTTCCTCTACTCCTAAAAGTAAACCACCCTACAAAAATACAAGCGTAAAGTTTAAACTATCGAGGAAACTTTGGTACAATTCTTTCATTATCTGCTCGACTGATTCGACATGATGATCCGTGTAGATTCCTGGTACATAATTTCTTTTCGATCATTGATTCTTGTTTGAAATTCGTATTAATTAGTTTCACGTTCACCTTAAATTGGTTTTAATTTTTTTTGTGATTTTTATATCTTTAAAATATTTTTAATTTCTTCAGAAGTACTCGTACCAAGACCACTGCAGTGTTCAATCAGCTTTTACCATTATCGTTATTTTATGACTTTTTAGTGTTACCTCTTGTGCACTTTACAATGAATTCCATCAGGGACAATAAAGGATAAAAGAGATAAAATTCCTTACTGTCATGGTCCAAAAAATAGGATTTTCAAAGCGGGTTAATAAAATAAATTCATAATATGAAAATAAAATATAGTTAACTTCAATATTACAAATCGTTTCACACAATATTTTAATATAATCATGAGACATCTTTTGTGTACCCGTTATTTACAACAAATCATATTTTAAAATAATAAAATGCTCAAATTGTAGTTATTTAATTGGGTTCTATTTATTTTAAATTAGTTATTTAAAATACTTTTAAAAAAATTTTTATTCTAATAATTATACGTAATTTTCATTACAATTTACGAAAAATTCGCACTTTTTCATGATAAATATTTATTATTTATTTGATAATTCACGTAAAAATTTCTCATTTATCTCTTTTATTTCATTTATTAATTAATTCTTTCATTTATTATTTGAGAAATCATAAAATTTAAAAATATCTTTTTGAATTTTTAATTATCTTTGAGGATTGTGGTTATAGCTTTTAAGAATTTAAAAAAAAAATTAAACGCAAAGTTATTTTTTTGACTTGATCACTTACTTTCAATCTAACCAAATAAAAATTATTTACAGTACATTTCCGATTTTAATGGGATTATAGGATTGGAAAATTTCAATTTCTTAGGTAATTTTTTTTACTAAATATTAGTTATTATTCATATTTTTTCCTGCCCCACATTATTTAAAGAGACTTGAAAGATTTATAATTGCTATTTTTTAACTTTTTTATTCTATAATAACCATATTATAGTATTAAAAAAAAAAAGTACCACTCGCTATTTTATAATAAATAATTTTCCAAAATTTCTAAAAATGAAAAATTAGATGATTCTATTATCTGTAATTGAACGAGGATATTTAAGAATTTTGAAATTACGTAAATAATCCGTAAAGTTGAAAAAGAAACTTAATCTATAAAGTTAACCCCAATTCTCACCAATTATTTGAGATTATATATTATATAAAAGTTAAGAATTTCGTGAAAGATGATTAAGAATAACATATAAGAAACTAAATGTTTAGATATTTTTTTTTTTTAAAAAAAAAAAAATGTAAATTTTAGAAATAAATAGTTTCAATAATACTATAAAGTAAAGTTATTGACAAATAATTTTCTTCGTTTATAGAATAAAATATTGCATACTATTATTGTTAAAAATTTTCTTCGGGTTCGAACTTCGAAAGTCCTGAAAAGAGCGCTTTTGAAGATTCGGCCCGGAAAATTCTTAATTGTAATCTTCATTCGAAGGAAGGGATCGAATAGTTACCAACAGAAATTTTGGTGATTTTCGAAACAAATTTCTGAGGAAATGGTAGAAAAAAAGGGTACCCTTTAGCATAAAGGGTTTAATAAGAATCGTCGAAAACTGTATTTTACGGAAAGTATATATAGGTGATTTCGAACAACTTGCTTAACTTCGATAGAAATAATACTGACGTCGACTTGCGCCACGCTCTAATATTCGTTTAACAATTCACGAAACCCTTGCTTTCTTGTAAAAATATCTTAATATACTAATTTCTAGTGAATTCTTTTAGCTCAAATTTACAAGCCGGTTGAATGTTTTGCAATTCCAAATAAAGTTACGCCACGGAGAGTACATCTTGATACTTGAATAAAGTTATACCAAAAGCTAATCCGGAAGAGAGTAAGTTGGATGATGTGACGGAATACTTCGATGTCCACAGATTAATGATTAATTATATTTTTACGCTATACAACTAATGGTTTTCGAATTTTGGAGAGAGAGTCGAGAGAGATGCTGATATATGTTCTACGATAGAGGATGAAATAAACTCTTACTGATGATAACTGAAACAGGAGATATCTTGATTATCAGTTTTATAGCCAACATTTGCATATATAAATATAGGAAAAAGGCTTTTTTTTGTCTTTTTTGAGTTAATAACACCGTAGATATGAATTTAACCGTTAAGGGGAGGAAAATGGAAGGGATAATCGGATAAAATTCCTCTTACATAATATTTTAAATATTTGCAATCAAATGTAGAGTATTGTTGTGCTACAATAAGCACTAATAAAAATTTGTTGAAGGGCCATTTACTTCATCAAGAATGGTAGGAAATTCGTTAGATTCCATTGTATTAAACGTGAAACCTGTATTATACATGTTTGAAACCATATCATAAAAAGGATCTGGCGCTTGTATTTGTGCTTGAACGACAGGCGGATTAGCCGGTTGTGTATTGGCATTTATCTGTGCACACGCATTTTTTGCGTCGGTATATAAATCCTCATAAATTTTCTTTTCCCCAACTGTTGCGTTTCTCCATAAAATTCCAGAAGCTTTAAAGACAATACGCATATTTCCGTTTCCAAACCTGTTAGCTTCTTCCTTGACATTTTTACAACAGAAAAAGAAGCAGTTACTTTTCACAACATGACCTTGTTGCGTAGAAACAATAAAATCATTCGGTTGATTATAATAAAATGGAGGAAATATTCTATTTTTGTCGAGTCTCGAAACTAATGCATCTGCTAACTCCTGGATCGAAAAAACTTGTTGATTATAATGAAGCCTAATCATTTTCACGGTATATATTTTTTTTTTTTTGAAAAAAAAAAAAACTATGGTTTTTCTTAATAATTTCACTTTATTTTACTTGTTTATTTAATTTTATTAATAAATTTTTATTTTTTTCTTCTTTCTCTCTTTTTCTCTCTTTTTTTAAAAAAAACTGTTATCCTTCTTAGAGAAAGAAGTGAGCAAAAGGAGCAAAAGGGGAGAAAATAATCAAAGTAAAATGAGACATTCTTATAATCCTGATTCGGTAAACTTGATTATACGTGTGTCACTCAAGTTTATAGAAGAATTTCCATAATTCATCGTTATTGAGTACATAGGAATAAAGTGACTTATCTCAAAAAAGAAAGTTTTCTTTGAATCAATCCCATGACACATTAAAAAGGATTTCATGAAAGAAAAAAGTAAAGTATTTTCCCGTATTCCTCCGAATTAATTTATCACAAAATTTTAATTATAGCTTATCAACTATTTTCCGGAGTTTTTATTATTAAGAAATTGCGAGGGAGTTATCTTTGAAACACATAACCTGAAACACGCTTACAAGTGCTACTAAGTACGTGATCATTTGATCATTAATCACATGTTACACTTTACATTGGAACCAATAAAAATGCGTGACGCAACGATATGATAATCAATTTTTTTTTCTTAAAAAAAAAATGTTGAAATATAATTTTTGTCGATGGTTTTCTTCTTCGTTAATTTCAAAATACAATTTTACTGGCTCTTTAAATAGTCATTTTAAATTTCATGAATATGTAGTTAATGATGATGAATCAGACATGAGACTTGATCGATATTTGCATTTAAGAACAAATCTTCCAACTTCAACGATTCAAAAAAAAATTCGTAAAAATGAGGTATTTTTTGCCATAGTTTATTTTATTTCTTTATTCTTTCTAATGATTTTTTTCGTATAGGTAAAATTAAAACCACTAGCACATGAAAATGAAGAGTTAGATAGTAATGAGATGCGAATAAAAAAAACAAAAACTCTCTCATATAAAGTTCGTCCTGGCGATGTGGTTTTAGTAAGGAGCACAGATTTATATAAAGAAGCCAAATTAGTTCGACCCACGAGACTTGCAATTAAAGTATATATTATTATTTGATCAAGAAAGAATTTATTAAATTTATAATTTTTATAATTTTTATTAAGTTTTATCGTGATTTATTTATTTAGTCTTTTAGTGAAAATGAAATAGAGTCAATAAGATCAATGATTGTATATAAAGATGATGAAATTATAGTTATTAATAAACCACAAGGTCTTGCAACTCAAGGTACAAATATAATCAATTTTTATTTTAATTTTTATTAAATGATTTTTATTCTTGCGACTCAAGGTACACACATGATTGATTATAGATTTTTATTTCAATTTTTATATTAAATGATTTTTTAACGACTTTTAATTAATTCTTTCTATGAAAGGTGGACCGAAAACGCTTAAACATGTTGATGGTTTATTACATGGTATTATTTGATCTCTTAATCAGCTTATTCTAAAGACGTTCAGAATTTTTTAATTTTTCTTTTCTTCAGCATTGCAGTTTGATTATCCTGATCCTCCGCGGTTAGTTCATAGATTAGATAAGGTTTTATAATTTATAGAATTTTTTTTTTTAATCATTGAAAGTATTGAGTTAATATTAAATAAATAAAAAAAAATATATATATATATAATATACAGAACACGACAGGTGCTCTTGTCCTTGGTCGAACTAGATCAGCAGCAGGAAAATTGTCTCACCTGTTTCGCGAAAGTACAATAGAAAAAATGGTATAATTTTAATTTATTCAAATTTTCTTTAATCTATCAAAATTAATATTTTTTTTTTTTTTCTTTTTAAATAGTATGTTGCTATTGTTACTAAATTTCTTCCAAGAAATCTGGCACACACCAAAATTAGTATACCTATTCGTTATGGCGGTAAGCCACCCTTTGAAAAAGTCACTTGTATATTAGGTAAAATGGTTATTTCTTTAAGGAATAAGTTTTAAAACAGCTGATCTTTTTTTTATTTAAATAACACAATAATAATTTTTTTTAGATAAAGAATCATCTTTAATGGCAAATTGTAAAACTGCAATAACATATTATCAGGTAATTGCAGGAACTGGTAATTATTCTTTACTCAGGTCAGTATTTTGAAAAAAAAGTAATAACGGAATTAGAATTTATGAAGCAAAGATTATCAGAATGTTGAATGGATTATATGATTTACGTTTTCAAAATGGTTGATACTTATGATAGAGGTCAAAATTTTTTTTTTTAGATTATATCCTCAAACAGGGAGGAAACATCAGCTACGATCGCATTGTGCATATGTACTCAAAGGTATAAAAAATTTTCGTAATTATCTATTAAATCATCATTTATATGTAAGAAGAAAATTCTCTAAAATTATTTTATTATTAGCCCCTATTTTAGGAGATGATAAGTATAGATTGGATAAAATTGATAAAACTAGTACGAGATCAGAGACATCATTTGAACCAATGTATTTACATTTGAATAGACTTGTCATACATGTAAGAAAAAATATTTATATATGATTCTGAAAGGTAAAAAAAAGGAATGAATAAAAATTTACATTAAATTATTTTAAATTATTAATTAGAATTGGAGAACAAAAGAAGGTAATTTAACAAAGTCCATAGAAATAACCGTACCTTTACCAGCATATTTTAAGAAAAAGTCAGAAGAATTTTTTGGAATTAATGCTGAAGCTGATATTCTGATTGAATGAAATTTTTTATAAAAAGAAAAGTTTAAATTTATTGATAGAATTTATTATGATATAATAATATTTAATTAATAAAATTTTATTTCAACTAAAATTATTTTATGAAATAGATTTATATATGTATTAATATAATTATATAGTTAGGCTAATTGGATGATATTCCACCCATCCAAATATTTTTAATATAATAACTTTGTCTACGCCATGTATTCTGATTCGTTCATATCATGGTTTTCACTCCCCCTTTAAGCCCAATAACTTACTAACCTTTTTTTTCATAATCCGTACATCAATTAAAGATATTGAAGATTATTACTATTTAAAATAATTATAAAGATGTGACTCATTTTTTGTATAAAAGATTAAAGAATCATCAAAAAAAATATAACAAAAAGAAATTTCTATGTTCCATATTTTATTTAATTAGACCCTTTTTTATTGGTTTTTATTAACTACTTTAAGATAAACAATGAAACTTGCAAACTTACATCATACAATTCTTCAATGGCGTGACTAGAATATGAAGGGGGAGAAACTCCTCATTTGGTGAATAAATTTATCATTATATCTCCGAATTTCTACCCCTAAATAATTATGGTAATTATATAGTCACATTTTGATTTCAATATTTGTTGAAAGAAATTTTTAGTATTATTGTAGATCATTATTTAATTTTTTTTTTGTTCCCTGTCATTCGGCATTCGACCGACAACGTGCATAACAAGTAAATAAATATGCATATAAATTGGTAATTGGTAATAGATCCCGCAGCACCGCAGCATTGAAGGGAAAAATAAGTTAAAAGTCAAGAAAAATAAAAATACGTGAAAGATCTTTTTTTTTTTTTTAGCACGCGTCAATCACGTTTATTATTCTTGATATTATATAAGTAATTTTTTTTTAAAAAAAATATACGATTGCTTAAAGCATATGTGATATACTGTAAGTAAGTACTTTAAGTACTTTAACGCGTCTTGATGGCGCAATCAAGGATTTCTAACACAAAAACCATTATAAATCATAATCATTATAATTCTTATGATCATGAATCAATGCATTTGAACACAAAAAAAAAGTGCATAAAAATAAAATCATAAGACCAGGTAAGAATTACTTGTTGAACAAATTAGTAAATTTTAACAAAGCGAACATGATCTTGTTCTATAAGTAGTAATTAATATTCGAATTAAAAATTCCCATCAGCTAATTAGGAAAAAAAAATTCCGGAATCAACTAAAAAAAAAAAATTTCCATTAATTCCGATTAGAATTATTTGTTACTTATATGTCAGTATTTGTGGACGGATTTTGTAAAAAAGACTGGATTTTTCAGTAAAAATTCCTTTTATAAAAACTTTGTTTGACTTTTTAACAAAGATTATCATCCGTAAAATTCCATGATTTTTTTTATAAATATAAGCATATTGGCAAATATTTGGGATTAAGAGAAAAAAAATATATGTACTTTTTATTCAACAATTTTTTTTTCTTTCACACATATATATAAATATACATATAAATTTTCATCTTATTTATTTTTATTATTATTTTTTACTTTACATATCTTAAAAAAATGGATAATATTAAAAATATTAGAACCCTTCAAAAAGCTCTTAATGGTAGACTACCTAGTACAAATGTCGATCCAATGGAAATTTTTAATGAATTACTATCATTACATGATAATAGACCATTTAATAAGCCTACCAACATGAGGAATTTGGCAAGGTTATTTGTCATGAAAGAAGCGAATGCCATTCAGATTACCAACTTTCATGTTATTAGTAGAGTAACCGATTTATTGTTGAAATCTGTTGCGCATTCAGAAAAACTTGAATACCATAAATTGGCATCTCAAGTGAACGAAATTATTAAAAAACGGTTTCGTAAAACGTTTTAATCTCATGAAATGTGAAATATTTTCAAAAAATTTTTCTTGAGAAAAATTTTTTTCTTTAAACAATAAGAGTGTAATAACATACTGCTAAGATTTATAATTTTTATCGTTTTTTTTTTTAAAAAAAAAAATCTTTTTCGGTTTTCATAATTTTTTATTTATCGCATTGATAATTCGAATCGTAATAAGGGTGGCGAATAGGTTTTAAAAAATGTGATGATGGGTACGATAAGATCACGAACGATAACATCGTTTTCTTTTTATTAAAGTTCGAAAAATTGAAAAATTGGTGGCATAAGCATTTTCGATTTGTTTTATTTTTATTTTTTTGTTTTTATTTTTTTTTTTACTCTTCGTTGGCAAAATTTCTTTCGTATTTATAGAATTTTTTTTTATATGATCTAATAAAACTGATGACTATTTTTTGTTACGTTAAATGAAACGAAAACGTGATAGCCGTTTCATAATTTCCTTTAAAAATTTTTTATTATTTTATTCATTTTATATTCTACATCCATTAAAAGAAAAAAAATGATCGAATATAAAAGGCATATCAATGGACAATCAATTGACACGAATAATTCATATAATGTATAAAATGAGAACAACAATATAATAATATTATTTAGATTGATGATATGAACATGATAAGGGAAAATTTTTAAGAAAATAATTTTTTTTGTTCTTATTATTTTTTTTTTTTCTTTTTTTTTGATATCACCAATAATATCAATAATCAATAATCAATAATCAAAGTTTTAAAACGTTTCAAAATTATTAATTATCTATCATCTTATTTTGTTATTTATTTATTTATCTTTTTGAAAAAATATTTACCGTGTTTACCATAAAGTAATATTATAAAATTCTCTTTATTTTTTGAGTATAGTAATAAGTCAACCTCTGAAATTTTATAGAATGTATTATATAACTTCTGGTCAATATCATGAAAGTTTTACAGTCATTCAAAAAAAAAAATCTATTGTTCGAGATAATTACGTAACAATCGGCATTAAATTCATTTGTTCATTCATTTAGAAATTTTTCACATTTTTCATTACTAAATCGAATTAAGCTGCCGTAAAATTGCGTAATCGTTTCATTAGTTCATTAGTCAGTTTTAGCCACAAAGTTTAGCCACGAAGAAATCTCATGTGATAAATTGATAAATTTACCTAATTAATTAAATTAAATTAATTTTAAAAAAAACTAATTTGTCATGTATACATTTGCCATTTTGAAACACAATCCGCTTTTTTGCTATTTTTGCCTCGCATAAAATTAATTTCCGAAGATGATCACAAAATAAACCGGAAATTTTCGGAACGTCGGATAAAAGAACGAAATATTTCTTACGCAAAACAACTCCTTTTTTAATATTTAGTATAATCGAAGAAAAAAAATCCCATTATAATTATAATTAGAATCACTATGAGTAATATTTGATTGATGAAATTTACGTTAATTAAAAAGTTTCAAATTTTCAAGAATTTGTAATAATTGTTTACTTTTCAACGTACCGTAGTTCTAAACAATAGTTTTCTTATGAGAATATATTATTCTCTTAATAATTCTCATTTTTTCTTATAAAGACTTTTTATTCTAAATAATAAATTCTTTTTAGATTCTTTTTCTCATAATAATAAAAAAAAAACTTCTTTACTTTTTTACTTTACCTGTAAACTTTACATCTTTTAAATGGTTCTCTTCTATCTCTTTTTTATTTTTCAATATCACTCCTTAAAATGATACTGTATCTCAAATGAAATTTGTCTTATCTTTTAACTTTTCTTACGATGTAAAAATTGCTTTGTCGAACGCTTTCAAAATTCTATTTACATTCCTTTGACTCCAGTACTTTCGCTGCGAAGAAGCCTAATTCTTCACAGGAGTAAGACGAGTAACAAGGAGGTTTTAGCAGAAAGTTTGGCGATATTGCAGAAGTTGTCGTAGTCTAGTTTTTTTTATTTCTTCAATGTAGTGTATTCCTGCTCGTAAAAATTTTTCTATACAATAAAAAATAGGACTTGAATAAGCACTAGACAGATTGTATAAATGCTATTTGCGCTTTTTATAGTATTTTTCCAATTCTTCAATGTAGTGTATTGTATAGATGCTATTTGCACTTCACTTATGATCATCCATACAAAAATTACAAAAATTATAATTTAGGAGGAATCTTTTTATACTTCTATTTTTTTTTTTTTTTTTTTTTCTAAAAATAAATAAAAAGGTGGGAATTTTGGCAAACTATAAAGAAATTCTTACCAAATAATACTATAGGATTCCCAAATAAAGTATTATTAAATAGAGAGTTAAAATTTGATCGGCTAATTTCCCACGAATGTATCAAATTTTTTTCAGCCTCATTTAAATGCGGCATTGATCAAACTTGCTTGAGAAAAAATTTTCATAGTTCATTATATTTAGGCGTGGAAAAAAACTTGACGTTTAATTTATCCTTAAAAGTCAAAAATTTTGACAGCTTAATCTCATGTTTGATTAACATAATACATACGTACTTCAACTTCAAATTATTGTTTGTTATCACATTAAGTTAGCTTGAGTTCTATAAGTTTTTCACAGAATATAAAAAGGTAAGTCTCAATTAAATACTTGAAACAAAAAAAAAAAACAAATGAAAAATTTCCTTTTTTGATAATGCTGACCGGAACTATGAAATACAACCGTAAGTTATCATCTCAAGGTATCTTCTGGCTCCCGAGAAAGTAACCCTCCCAAAAAATAATTTCGCACCTGATCAGAGCACAATGGAAGGTTCTCAGCTTCCTAAAATTCCGAAAACTAAGTAATGATTTTCAATACCGAGATATTGTATATGATGCCGCTCCAAGGTTGTTGCGGGTAGTTGTCAGACTTAATCTTTGACATACAGTTCATATAGTTATAATCTTTTTCTTTTAATAGCAGAAAAGAGCTCATTAATTTTTTTTTAATAAATATAAAATATATATTTCTAGCTCTGGTCAAAATTACAGATCATGCGTGACGAATATCATAACTAAAATAAATCGTGCCATAGGCACCAATTGAAATCAATTGATGATCAAAATGGTAATGACAATACAAAATTTAGAAACTAATGAAAGAGAAAATGTATGACAAACCCCATTCGTTTCGTATTTCGGAATATTCGTGTAGATACCATCCGTGAAGATCCTTTATTCAAAAAAAAAATATATATATATAATTTTAATGATAAATTTTTCTCTTAATATTTTTTTTTAAAAAAAATCTTTTTAGTTTTTTAGTTACAATATTGAAATACCTTTTAAAATAATGTTTCCAATCTTAAATTTTAACAGAAATTTATCTAATATATGATTCGTAAGGAGAATGAACTAAAATACGTACAATGACACCTCTATAAGTGCACGGTGGGCCTGGTCCCAACTTATAAGAGCTCTTAATATTTTACTCTCTATAAATGCACACCCCCCTCTAAGTACACATTCTACTATTTTTTTACTACGGTCCCAAGGGGAGGTGCACTTAGAGAGGTGTCACTGTATCATATATGTGATTAAAACAAAAGAAATTACAAAATAAATTGTAAAAATGTTAAATATTCTTTTATTGCAAAACACCAAAACCTTTACACCAAATATTCAGCTTCTTCGTGCCTTTTAAAGATTGGTTATTCAATTTTTTTCTTACAACAAATATTAGCGTGCCCGTATTGTTTAAGATATTATAAAACACCTGATTTAAAAATTATATAGTACCAATGGCCAATGGGAGCGGGATTTACTAAAATGGATTAAAATGTGATCATTAAAATGTGGTCATTAAAATGTGGAAATTAAAATCAATGACCTACATATCATATATTTTGCAATATTAGAGACGGATACTTCATAAATGGTACTCTCAAAAGGGGATATTTTAAGCAAAGCAGTACGGTAATTGAATGAAGATAATCTGTGCCTAATTAAGTTAATCATTGGATACTACAATCAAGCGAAAGAAAATTTACGTTTTAAGTTCAAAGATTCAACCTTTACCCGCCTAAATTTCAGAAAAATTTAAGAGATTATGAAGATTTAAAGGATTATTAGTGAAATATAGAAAAATGTAAGAAATTAATGTAAAATAATCGAAAGTCTCACGTTTATCTTTAAAAGATCAAGATCTGCTGCTGGTAATTGAATTATTAGTAAGATTACCCGTTAATTATTCTTAAATTATAAACAATTGACGGCAAATATGTAAATAATGAGAAATTTGTGATGTTTTTGATGAAGGTGAAAATTTCTGTTATTCTTTTTTTTTTTTTTTGAAGTTAATAATTATTTATTCTTTACTCTTTCTCCCATTTTCAGAATCTTTGAGAAAATATGCTAAAAAGTAATTAATTTTTTGGGATTTTTTTTTTGGGGGTCTAATGTTCATAAATAATTTTCAAGTTACAAGTTTTTTCAAGTAAATTTTACAATATCTTTGTCGAATCTTTTGTGAATATTCATTTAGTTAAATAGCTCTAATGATGATAAAAATCTTTAGAAAAATTATAGTGATGGATAGATGGAATAGATGGAATAGTTAAAAAATGGTTTAATATTTGTTATATATTTCAATATCAAGAAAATAAATTTTCTTCAAATTTTTTATTTTGGGGGAAAAAAGAAAAAGAAAATTTTGTAAAAACTAACGACATGAATATTATCTTAATTGGTTAATATCGTAAATTTTAAAATATTGTTATTGTTATTTCAATATAATAAGGTCTAAATTTTCTAATAATAATAATAATATATATATATATATTCTCGGGTTATCCGAACTTTTCCCGAAAATTATTATATAATAATCCGATATGAAAAAAAATTTGTTGTAAATCATTGATTAGGAGAGACAATAACACACACGTATATATATATAATATTATAATATATACAGTATATGATTTCTTTAATTAAAACTATATAAATAATTTTATATCATTCACGTTTAATAATTCTACACAACACATACATATATAA